GTGTGATGAGTGATGTGTTGCGTTATGTGTGATGAGTGATGTGTTGCGTTATGTGTGATGAGTGATGTGTTGCGTTATGTGTGATGAGTGATGTGTTGCATTATGTGTGATGAGTGATATGTTGTGCTATGTGTGATGAGTGATATGTTGTGCTATGTGTGATGAGTGATGTGTTGCATTATGTGTGATGAGTGATGTGTTGCGTTATGTGTGATGAGTGATGTGTTGCGTTATGTGTGATGAGTGATGTGTTGCGTTATGTGTGATGAATGATTTGTTGTGTTATGTGTGATGAGTGATGTGTTGCGCTATTTGTGATGAGTGATGTGTTGTGTTACATGTGATGAGTGATATGTGACAAGAGCTAGATTTTGGCAGGAGCAGCTTGGTAGCCCAGTGGCTGGCGTTGTTCCCTCATACCTCCGTGATGGATGTTCTGTCCATGTTGCGTGAGTCCAAAGAACTGCAGTTAGACTTGTCAGTAATGGGTAACTGTGCTTAGGTGTCTGGCATACCATCTATGATGTTCCCCTGCCTGGTGCTGATAGATATTAGCATAAATTTGGTGTGAAGACTAAATATGAAGATCACATCAATAATTCTTAACTGATAACGAGAAGTGTGATGGCATCTCCTGATAGGCTGTGGCCCTGCCTCTGTACTGAGCTGTGCCTTCGCTGTCTCTGTCCTTTCCCGCTGCTCTGTTGGCGGCATCATGGTGAAACTAGGGAAAAGGTAGAGGGGGAGCATACGATGGTCCAGACCAATCATACAGACCAGCCGAGTAAGTCGCAGCCTAGAAAACGTACAGCAGAAGAGGTCTCGGTAATCCTGCCCTAGATAAAATCCCTACCCTCTTCCTCCCTGTCATTCCATCCTAAAATCAGACCCAAAATTAATTAATGGATCAATTAATTAATTAAAAGTCAATTGGTCCCCTCTTTTATTTTTCTCTCAGGTTTTCATTTTTCCTTCTTTGGTTTCTGCCTTTGAATAAATCTCAAACCTCATATCTGACCTTTTTCTCCTCTCTCCTCTCATCCTGAATAATTTCCTTAAAACATCAGTTGTCTTTATTCGTACATGTTACTTATGGATTTCTGTTGCATACTCAGTCCAAATCAGGCAAAGTGACTGCAATGAAATTAAAATGAAAACCAAACCATCATACATTTAATTTACCTTAAGTTAAATTTTGATGTTTGATTTTTCGAATCTGTTCCTTACCTGATCGGTTTGCATTTGATGAGTTGTGAGCGAGTTTTTTGTCATTTTCCTTTTTGGAAGGTTAGTTTCAGACAGAGTGAGAGGGCAGGTGGGTGAGGAGGTGGTGAGGGCCTCGGGTGGGGGGGTCCATGAACGTGCT